GGTCAGCAGTTGGCATATTTTCTTGTGCTTTTAGTGGGTCGGTGACACCTCACCTCCTGGGATCGCGTCTGGAGAGTGACTAGTATTCTGCCAGCTTCGGAAACGGGAGGGAAAGCAAGCCAGGCAGAGGTACCCATTCCATTCCCAGCTTGCTCAGTAGTTGGAGATTGGAAGACACTCTGCAACAGTGTTCAAACCCTGGGCAGGAAAACCTCCTTCCAAGATTCTCCTTTAATTTGGGTCTGCCTCTTTCTTTAAGGCATCATGGCTGCCCTCAGGCCCCTTGTGAAGCCCAAGATCATTAAAAAGAGGACCAAGAAGTTCATCCGGCACCAGTCAGACCGATATGTCAAAATTAAGGTATATGGTAGTGGGATGGAGATGGTGTTGGGGTGAAGAAAGGAGTTCTTAAACAGGCTGTAGTGTGTGTGACATCACCTGGTGGGAGGGTTACTTTTGACAGATGAACTCGTTTGTGGTCGGTGGGAGAGCTCTCTGTAGAAACTCAGGTCTCCCTGAGGGTCCCTCGAAGTGTAAATTGAAATTTAAATAAGGGAAACTTGGCTGTTTTGAGGACTTTGTATTTATATCATGCATTTTAGGTGGCCTGATGACAGCAGGAGAGGCAGATGATGCCCATTTTATAGATGAGAAAACTCAGGTTCTGAGAGCAGGGCTCTGTCATATCACATACATGGTCCCTCACATCTGCAGTATCTGTCGTGCGGGTGTGAGCGTGGATCTACATTTGTACTGATTAAAGCCAGAAATTCCAACTTTTTCCACCAATAAAAGCTTGAAGTAGAGGAGTCGTTTGGAAAGTAGAAATCAAGGGCACTGCGCATCTCTGCGGGATCTTGGAGGCTCCCTGGACCGTTTGGCCGCTGCCCTTGCGCGTGGTGCTTCTCCCTTCCTGGCGGGTCACAGCCGCACGGACACTTACCACCTGTGCGCTCTTTTCAGCGTAACTGGCGGAAGCCCAGAGGCATCGACAACAGAGTAAGGAGAAGATTCAAGGGCCAGATCTTGATGCCCAACATCGGCTATGGGAGCAACAAGAAGACAAAGCACATGCTGCCCAGTGGCTTCCGGAAGCTCCTGGTTCACAATGTCAAGGAGCTGGAGGTGCTGCTGATGTGCAACAGGTGAGGTGGGTCCCTCCTCTGGGGTCAGGCGTCAAGTCTGCTGCATCTGTGTGAGTGGCTCTGGCGCACGCTTTAGAACCTCTTGGGGTGCGGTTGGAGTGGTGTGGGAACATGAGACCGGAGAAAGGAGGACTTTGGTAGACACAGCGAACTCTGTGCTTTGAGCAGTCTTTCCAGAATAGTGCTTGCTCTATGTGGGGGGGTGGGGGAGAGGGCCAATAACCCCAGACCTAAGTGGCACTTTATTCTATGGTGTGGTGGAGAGCATCTTCAAGATGTTACAGGAACAAGGGAGTTGCTGCCTGACAGGGGCAGGAGGGCTTTAGAGCCCAGTGCGGTCTGAGGTGGAGGAAAGGAGGAAAGGCAGGCAGAGAATACCTTACAGAAAGGTGTAGAGATGGAAGAGCACACGGAGGGTCCACAGGGCTTTAGCTGTAGGTGTGGTGGGCAAGTTAGACACTTGGTGTATAAGAGACTCAGTGGTCTGCCTTGGCTGAAACTCTAGGGCTACGGAATGAGAAAACATTTCTCATGGAAAGTGATTTAGACACTTTGTATGAGTCTGGATTGAAGGGAGTGGTATTTTTTGGTTAAGCAGAGGATGGTTTATTTTCTTCCCTTCCCAGTAAACAAACCAAACATCCGCGTTTGTCTGTAATGGTTGTAGACAAAACTAATAATGAACAAAACCAGTATTCTAACTTGGTTATATTTTGAGATTGGAGTTTTAACCAGATGTTGAAATGCTGGAAGTTTCTTTTAGAAAGGATAAGGGAAAGAATTATTGATGGATACCCAAACCACAGTAAGCAGGTCGGCAGCTGAATTATGGCAGACAGACATAACTAACTCAGTACGTGGGGTGTAGCAGAAGTGATCTTTCTTCATTTGTGGTTTGCTGCTTGCCATATATATGTTTTATTAGCAGCATGGAAGTGTTCATAAAGACCCATAGAAATACTAGCAGCAATAACCAGTTGGAAACAACTGAAAATGTAATTGGTGAGAGGTAGAGTACTGGGTGGAATATTACACATCCAAAGTGGTTGTCATGCAGAAGTGTGGAACATGCCTGGGCGCGGGATGCATTTAAAATGGTTAGTGCACTGTGACTACGGTTATCAAATATGTAGGTGGACCAGGACGGGGAGGGTTTTTTTGTTTTTAAGTGTAATGCAACCTAGTCTTAAAAACATAGACTCATTTTAAAATATAGCTACTTTGAACTAGTGGACTCCTCTATATAAAACAAAAAATTCTTTGTGTGGGTTAACTCGTCTCTTGCTGTTACAGTTATTTTCCCACAGTGTTCTTAAGCTATGCCCACAGCCCCATTTAATCATTCCTTACAGTCCTGCTTCTGTTGTGGCTGAAATTGCTTCAGGGGTGGAATGTCTGTTCGTAACCCACGGTCGATGGCTTGATAAGCCACCTGCTTACTGAGACTGCTCCTTAAGCCATTTTGTATCAAACTGGGGCAGAGCATAGCTGCCTCTTGTACTTGTGAGGAATTAATTACAACAGTACCTGGCATACTCAGTACTCGGGATATGTGAGGGCTTGTTACTGACTGGGTGACTTTAGGCAGTGTTACTTCTCTCAACCTGAATTGTGTCCTCAACAGTCAAACTAGGAGCCCTTGACTTGATTCAGACTTGTATTCTGCTCTTGGCCACTTTGCAGAGATTTCCAAAACTTCTCATGGGCAAGGCCAAGCACCCGGGGGGTGGGGTTGGGCCAGTTAGTACTGAGAGAGAATCTTTGGACCTGGGGTCTGGGCCTGTGTTTGTCCTTGTCCTTTTCCATTATTTGCTTTGTGACTTGGGAATTCGCTTCCACCTTTGTGGGCCTTGGTTTCCTCATCTGTAAAATGGAGATGATACCTGGACTACATGGCTGCTGGAGGACTAAGAGAGGGGACAGTGTGGGTGCTTGATAAACTAGAGCCTTCTTATTACTACCAGGGAGCACTGCAGGAGCCTTACCCACTGGTACCATGGAATCAGGGGACTTGGGGTTTGGGGGCATGTAGGTCTCAGTCAGCAGCCATTGACCAAGCACCTCTCTCTGGTGCTGTGACTTGGGGGTTAGAGTGAACAAAGCCATGGCCTCCCCAGTAGAGTTCTATAAGTGTGTGTTCAGGGCTGGCTTGTTCCTTACCTACTTAATTATTCTCTTCCAGATCTTACTGTGCTGAGATTGCTCACAATGTTTCCTCCAAGAACCGCAAAGCCATTGTGGAAAGAGCAGCCCAGCTGGCCATCAGAGTCACCAATCCCAATGCCAGGCTGCGCAGCGAAGAAAACGAATAGACAGCTCATGTGCACGTTTTATTTGTTTAAATAAAACCGTAAAAACTGCCATCTGGCATTTTCCTCCCTTGGTTTTAGTTTTCAGTTTCTTGACGAACTTTGACAGCTTGTCACAGAGATTGTTCTTTTGCCTGTTAACACCCAGTGGAGTCTTCCCACTTGGAGGGTTTATAAAGGACATTCAACCTTGAACAGGGAACATGGCCTCATTGTGCCCAGGCTAGCCTCATTCAGCTCCAGTTGGGGCTGGGGAAGAGGGAGGAAGAGCTGGCCCTCAGACCAAAGTAGGCTGTCAATTGAGACACTGAAATGAGGAAGCTTGCATCTCCCAGGCAACAAGTAGCCGTTCTTAGCTTCACTTTGTAAAGCTGATGACAGTTACCCATGATGGTTCTTGTGAGAACTGAGAAAACTTGCATCAAAGTGTCCAGAAGAGTTTCTTCCGTACTCTGAAATTCTTATGGGGTGCAGAGACAGTATCCCATGACTTCTGTCCAAAGACACAGCAGGATGATTCAGCCTTGGGTACTGGAAGGTGGCCTCCAGCCTCTTATGTGACCCCTGCCCCAGCTGCTGCCTCAGGCCTAGTTGTACCAGTTTCCCAAGGTGGGGGGTCACTGGCGAGGATCAGGCCTCTTGGTTGGTGATCTCACATTTAACATGACAAAGCTTCCTTTTTAACTGCAGCCCTGAACCTTCCTTAGACAATATTATTGTTTGTTAAGGTTATGATCCCTCTTAGGGTCTATTCATCAACCTGGGACATCACAGAAAATACTTTGGCCTGTCACTTACATTTCTGTGTCTTCAAACTAAAAACTGGAAATGACACATTCAGAACTTTTCCTCAGGGCCAGCCCGTGGCTCACTTGGTAGAGTGCAGTGCTGATAACACTAAGGCCACGGGTTCGGATCCCATATAGGGATGGCCGGTTAGCTCACTGGGAGAGCGTGGTGCTGACAACACCAAGTCAAGGGTTAAGATCCCCTTACCAGTCATCTTTAAAAAAAAAAAGAACTTTTCCTCAGGACACAAACAGTTGATTATGCCTGGGTGTTGACCTGAAAGGTGACTTGTACCTCTGTGTTGCCCAGTTTGCTACACAAGCACTGACTTCTGGCATCGCAGAATTCAGATAAAGTGAAGTAAAGAAATATGCCTGCTGTCTCCTAACTTGTCACAGCTGTGACCACAGTCTAAATACTACTTGGGGAGGCAGGAAGGGACTCCCCAGCTTGCAGGAACCAGACTAACTAATACGAGGGGGAATACGGTAGAAATCACTGGAAACCTCACCCTGTTTTCTTTGAGTGACTGTCCTGAGTTAAAGGGCCCAACTGCTGGCAGCCTCAGCTCAGGCTGGCGCCTGGAGTTTGGGTCCCTGGAGAAGGCACTGTAAAGCCCTCACCAGGAGCAGGGGCCCCTAGTGAGATGATGGGAGGGCAAAAGGAGAGGTCTGAGGCCTGCGGTGGGAGGTGAGGCCTTGGGCTTTGGTGGGCTCCTTTCTCTTGAGTGAGGGCCCACCTGGGCACTGGGGGAGGGCTAGCTGAGCTCCATGGAGTCCGTGCTGGGCGCTGAAGCAGAATCCTTCTGGATGCTTTCAAAGAGGGCAGCAAGTTCTGGGTTGGATCGGATTTGGGAGGAGAAGTCGGCCATGCTGGGGCTTTTCCCCACCTCGGGGATGGTCAGCAGGGCGGCCACTGCCCTCATGGCAGAGCGCTTCAGTTCATCTTGCTTCTCAAACTCCTGCTTCACGGAACCAGCCTTGACCTGAAGAGGGAAACAACGGGAGGGGCTGTCTCTTACTGAACCTGGCCTCACACCAACACCTCCTCACTGGCCTTTGGCGTCCCCTTGGCCACCTGTGATCTTCCCCACCAAATCCGATCCGCAACTTCGAGGTCCGAAGTCTCCAGGCTCCCCTAACTACCCCCCTCGGCTCTTCCACCTTGGTGCTTCTAGGCTGGCTTGTTTCCCCAGGGCAATCCCTGCCTTCCAAGAGGAGCCTCTGACCAGCCAGCCAAACTGCACACCTTTATTTTTGTTAATTTATACTTTGTAGAGACAAACACTAGAGTATGGCTTTATCATCTCCTTCCAAGGACAGCAGGGATCCAAGCCTGTACTTAATGTGCTTAAAACCTCAGTCGTCTGACTGGACTGAACGAATGGATTACTGTGACAGTCTTCTAGTGGTCTCTCTTCCTCCTCTCATGTCCCTGCCCTGTGATCCATTCCTCAGAGGCAGCTGGAGAGTAAAAATTGAAAACTGCCTTCTGCGTCCTGTTTCCTCTTTCTCCATCATCTCCCGCTAATTCAGAAAATCTCAGTAATTCCTCCACTGCTTATGGAGTAAAGTTCAAATTCCCTATGCTGGGTCCTTCCCCTAAAGAATCTAGTGTAGTGGGTAAGATCTTGACAATTGGGTTGGACAGTCTTGGGTTCACACGGCTCTGCCCCCTGAGAGCTGAGACTTCAGGTGATCACTTCTTTGAGCCTCGTCTCTCCATCTGTGGGTAAGAGCCACCGCTTCCAGTGTTGCCGGGAGGGTTAAATGGCTTAGCACAGCTCCACACTCGCTTCTCTGAAACCCTTGGGGCCAGCTGTGCTTTGGAATCCAGGATTTTCGGGGTTTTAGAAAGGTAATGCTGTGCAAGTGACATTCCCAGTGAGGTCTGGTGCAATTCTCTGTAATCAAATACATTAATATCTCCTCCTCTAAATAGATGAAAGATGCATGAGTGTTATGAGCAGTATAATAAAAGGACCCAAGGACCAAAAGTGCCTCATGCTAGTTCAGGTCAAGTTACTAAAAAACGTTTGGTTATCAGAGCTTTGTAGATTTCAGAATTGTGGATGAAGGACTGAGGATACGGAAGTGCCAGCACCCCACACAGTGCCCCAGATGCCTCCCGTGCAGCCAGACCGAGTGGCCTCTGTGCACCTCAGTACAAAGCTTCTTCTTTTTTTTTTTTTTTTTTTTTCTTTTGTCTTTTTCCATGTCCAGCAACGGATCGCAACCCTCAGTGTTGCCCCCGTACCGGACCGGGGACCGGCAACGGGATTGCAACCCTCGGTGTTGCTCCCGCGCCTCGCTCAGCCAGTGAGCGGGAACCGGTCTGTATGTGGGATCCGAACCCTCGGGCGGGAGCGCCGCCGCGCTTCCCAAGCGGCGCACTTATCCAGTGCGCCACCGGGCTGGCCCCTAAAGCTTCTGGTGCCATCTCGCCTACTGCAAGAGTGCCCTGACACTGCAGTGCCATTCACAGCTCCTCTCTTGTGAACAGGGACTTTTCTCAGTGCCATACCGAGACTGTCAAGACTGCAATGGCCCTGAAGAATCACTGTTTTTTGGATTGGCTTGATACTGAGCATATGTTAAAAATTTAAATTTACAAGGCAGGTTTCTATTAAATTACAAATTTAATCTGTGCTGTGGATTGAATTGTGTCCCCCAAAGTCCGTGTATTAGAAACTTAACCCCTACTGTGAATGTGTTAAGAGGGTGGGAAATCCTATTATGGTAATTGAAATGTGGAGCCTTGAAGAGGTGATTAGATTGTGAGAACCATGTCCTGGTAAATGGGTTAATAAGTTGAGGGTTAATGGTGATCACGGGTGTGGTTCTGAGGGCTTTAAAAGGAGAGCACGTGAGTCTCTCTGCTTCTGTGTTTTTTGCAGTGTGACACCCTGCATCGCTGAAGCCACCACCAAAGAAGGCCTTCATCAGATGTGTTCCCTGGACTTTGGATGTCCCAGCCTCCAAACTGTAAGCAATATATATTGTTTCTTTACATATTACCCAGTTTCAGGTATTTCTGTTATAAGCAACAGAAACAGACTAATACAATCTATTTTACTCACATAAGTTTTTTTTTTTTTCCGAAAAAGGTTTTGCCCGGCCTGTGGCTCACTCGGGAGAGTGTGGTGCTGATAACACCAAGGCCACGGGTTCGGATCCCATATAGGGATGGCCGGTTTGCTCACCGGGTGAGTGTGGTGCTGACACCACCAAGTCAAGGGTTAAGATCCCCTTACCGGTCATCTTTAAAAAAAAAAAAAGAAAAGAAAAAGGTTTTGCTACTTGAAAATTACTGCTCTATGTGTATCTCTCCTCTTTAAGATCCAGTCTAAAATACTCTGGATTCTTTTTGGTTAATTCCTACCCTTTCAAAACCCAAATTAGTTCTTTCATTCAACAGGTTTTTCCTGGTCACTCTCTGGGTGCACCAGGCTCCATTTCCAACACTGCAGCTTTCCACGAGGCTTTCCGCCCCAGATGCCTCCTCTGGACCCTTGTGGCACTCCTGTCTAGCAGAAACTTGCCCTAGATCAATCAATCACAAGAGTCTGAGCCAGCTTCCCAACCAGGATATGAGCGGATTGGCAGTAGGGAACCATCGTGTTTGACGTTGTATCCTTTGTACCTTGCACAGGGCCCAGCACCCAGGAAGTACTTAATGAATGAAAGGTAAGAGACAGCTGGGTTTGAATAGCTCTGCAATTTACTAGCTGGGTAGCCTTGGCCAATAATTTAACCTCTCTGAGCCTCTGTTCCTGTGTATACGATGGTAAGAACGAGAAGTAATTTCTAGGGCAACGATAACAATTAAGTGAAGCACTTCACACACCACCGCACCGCGAGCCGTTCGGTAAGTGGTTGTGTATGTTCGCAGAGGATCCAGCAGGTGCTCCAGGGCCTGGCCAGGGCTGGGGCAGGGGCTTACCTTGGCAGTGCAGGTGGCCCTGAGTGGTTCAATGAGCCGGTCCACCCTCTGCAGGACAGGCACAGGACACAGAGTAGCCAGCCGTGCGAGCATGATGAAAGTCAGCATCTGCCCAGAAGAAAGGAGATGGAGTTCTCGGTGAAATGACGCAGGACCAAAAGGAGTGGGCCCCGGGGAGAGCAGAGGCTCTGCAGCCAAAGCCTGGAGCCCAGGTCCAAACTCCCACAAAGTTCTGCCAGGGCCCTGCCCAAGTGTCCCCCTCTGGGCCTTGGTTTCCTCATTTATAAAATGTGAATGGTAACACTTGCTTGCCAGCTACACTTGGTTGACCTGAGGAAGATCAGATAATAAGAGGAACCAGGGAGGGTCCCAGTGGCACCACATGGGTGCCAGGGTGTTCACTGCAGCGTTGTGTATACCGGTGAACATGTGCAAAGAAACTACGTGTGTAACAGTGAGCTCAACAGAAAAGGGGGTTCCTGTGGCTGTGAGATAGGACAAAGAGGACTGATGCACATCAACAAGGAAAAAGCAACATGCGAGAGATGTGTGTTAAAAGATCAGGAGACAAAACATCATATGTGGTGGGATCTCATTTCTGTAACCTACATCTCATACACGCATCTCCAAGGCTTTGAGAGCAGGGACCCTGTCTGTCACACTGACCTGTGTGCGGCACTCACTTAATACTGGGTGACTAAGTAAATTAAGAATGTTTATGTGCATCTTTCCAGGAAACATACTGAGATTTACAACAGTGGTTCTCTCTAGGTGGAGGGGAGGTTTTGGGGTGATGATTACTTGCTTCTTTGTTTGATTTTGTCTTGTGTGACTCTTTCAAAACAAGCATGTATTACTTTTGATTAGTTTATATTGGTTTTTCATTATAAAAGTGATTCATGCTCATGGTATATATTAAGAAAAGATACAGTATGATGTTTCCTCAAAAAATTAAACACAGAATCACTATATGATCCAGCAATTCCACCAATTCCAGGTATATACCCAAAAGAATTGAAAGCAGAATCTGAAAGTGGTATTTGTACCCCCCATGTTCAAAAAGCGAAAACAACCCAAGGGTCCATCAATGGATGAGTGGATAAACAAAATGTGGCACATCCATACAACGGAGTATTCCTTAGCCACAAAAGAAATTTTGATACACACTACAATACGAATGAACCTCAGGGACATTATGCAAAACAAAATAAGCCAGTCACAAAAGACAAATACTGTATGATTCCACTTACATGAGGTACCTAGAATAGTTAAATTCATAGAGAACTGTCAGTGTTTAAGAGGCACATAGTTTCAGTTTGGGAAGATGAAAAGTTCTGGAGCTGGATGGTGGTGACGGTTGCACAGCACTGTGAATGCACTTAATGCCACTGAACTGTGCACTTAAAATGGTTAAAATGGTAAATTTTATGTTATGTCTATTTACCACAATAAAAAATAATTCCTATTATATATGTGAATAAACTATAAAATTTTTAAAAACAAAAAAGGATATAAAATGAAGAAACCTGCTGCTCCTCCAGCCCTAACCTCACTCCCACAGGTAATACAATGGCCCAAACTTCTAGAACTAGCTTTTATCACTTAACAGTGGATCCTGGTGATCTTTCACTCCAGTACATGAAGAGATCCAGCTCATTCTTTTGTTTTGGCAGCTGGCCAGTACAGGGATCGAACCCTGGACCTCAGTGTTATAAAGCTATGCTCTAACCAACTGAGCTAACTGGCCAGCCGCCAGCTCACTCTTTCTAATGCTGCTGCTATTGCACTTAGTTTATTAAGCCAGTTCTCTACAGATGGCCATTTGGGTAGCTGCCAGCTTCTCCCAGTGCCCAGAAGGCTGTGAAGGACAATCCTGCACATAAAACTGTGAACATGTGTAGGAGTCAGCCCAGAGGTTTTGTGCACAGGTCAGATGGGATAAGGCGGACTTGCTGGGTCAAAACTGTGTCTGGGAATTTAAAAATTTTCTAGTTACTGCCAAACCATCTTCCAAAGAGCTTGCCCAACGTACACTCCCATCAAAAGTGTCTGCGAGGGGCCGGCCCGGTGGCACACTGCTACAGTGCGCCGCTTGGGAGCGTGGTTGCGCTCCCGCCGAGGGTTCGGATCCCACATACAGACCGGTTCCCGCTCACTGGCTGAGCGAGGTGCGGGCACAACACCGAGGATTGCGATCCCGTTGCCGGTCCCGGTCCGGTACGGGCGCGACACTGAGGGTTGCAATCCGTTGCCGGACACGAAAAAAGACAAAAAGGAAAAAAAAAAAGTGTCTGCGATGTGGGTTCCTTTCCTTATTGGAAAACAACAATGCAGCAGTTTTCAGGGGGGTGCCTGGAGTAGGGAGCGGGGATGAATAAGCATGGGCCCAGTGATGCTGCCTGGCTGTCCCTTGGTCCGGGGTGGCCCGCACTTGGTCCTACCCGGATGTCGTAGTGGTCCTTCAGCCCATCCTCCACGTGGTTCAGGAACTCACAGATGTCCAGCTGGCCCAGGCAGCTCTCGAGCAGTGAGTACATGCACTCAAAGGCCGCCTTCCGCACGTCCAGCCCATCATCGACTGTATGCTTAAAGGGCCCCATCTCCACCTGCAGGAGGGAAGGGTGACAAAGGGGTGGGGAATGTGGGCCCAGGGGTAAGAACACCTCCCCTCGTTTCTGCCACACACCCCACCCCTCTGTTGTTCAACACCGTGTCCCGGCCCCAAATCATGCCTTACACTCTCAAGTCTCCACGCCTTTGCTCAGCCTGCAGTGCCCTTGCCCGGATAATAACAGTGGTAATAATAATAAGTGCTATTGTTATAGTCTACTGATCAGGCACTGTCTGAGTGCCAGGCACTGTGCTGAGCACTTGACAGATGACATCTTACTCAAGCAGCACAGCTGCCTTCAGAAGTAGATGTTATTATTGACCCCATTTAACATAAGCGGAAACTAAGGCTCAGACAGGTTAATTAACTTGCCCAAGGACACAGCTAGTGGCTGAACAAGAACTGAAAACTTTTAGCCTATGAAACTTTTAACCATGAGGCTCTGCTCTTAATGGTAACCTCCTCTTCACCCCTCAAAGCCCAGCTCACATGCCCCTTCTTTTGGAAACTTTTCCAACCCTCTAAACAGAGTTGCCTCCTCGTCAGTGATGCCAGGTGGCTTGGACCTCATCACACTGTGTGATGACTGAGCTGTTAAATCAGCTTTCATCTCTGCCTCTTCAATGCTTACTTTGCCACGTGGGCCCTAAGTAAGTTAAGTACTCAGCAGGGTGCTCATCTCTCTCCTTCAGGAGGCTGTGATCAGTTAGTTGGTGACAGAAACCACGTCTGGCCCAACTCTGAGTCCTGGCATTTGGACCCAGTGCAGGTGCTGGGCGAACACCTGCTGAACACTGAGTGACAAGAGTAGCTGACACTGACCCAGTGCCAGCTGTGTACAGGAGCAGCTCTGAGCAGTTACAGGGCTTAACGCATTGAATCTTTGCAACAACCCTATGACACAGACACGATTATCATCCTCATTTTGCTTGTGAGGGGAAACTGAGAAGCAGAGAGGATTAGGTTGCTCTGGCTGGGGTCACACAGCTGGGAAGTAAGGGCAGGACTTGGCCCAGGCCACACGGCCCCAGTGCCTGCTCTGATGAGATTTCCCCTAATCCTTGCCACAGCCCTACCAGCAAGGCATAAGAGGCGGCTTCCCCCCAGGGTCCCCAGCCTGCTCCTCACCTCTCGGATGAGGTCCCGGCGGATCTTTGTCTCCTGGTAGAGGAGGGGCAGGATGTCGTCCAGCAGGTCCCAGACCAGCGAGGGTTTATTGTGCACGGCCGAGTTGAAGAAGGCCAGAGTGGCGCGGCGCACGTTCAGGTCTGGGTCCTGCAGGCTCTCCATGAACTCTCCTGGCAGAAGGACCAGAGCAGTGTGAGGGACACATAGCCAAACCACAAAACCACCTGTATCCTCCACCTCAGATGGCTGGTTACCGTGAGCTCTGCACACCTGGCTGAATGGGGCAGGCATGTTCTGAGCATCTGCTTTGTCCCAGGCGCAACCACCCATCAAAGTCCAAATAAGAATTCCAATCCAGGCTCTGCCATTTAAGTATGGGACCTGGAGAACCTCAACGTCCTCACCTGTAAAATGGGTTTAATAACAGTACCTACACTTTTAGGATTAAAAACGTGGTAATGTATATAAAGCACACAGCAGGGTGCCTGGCACAGAGCAAAGACCCCACAAATGATAACTTGACCTTATTACAGATGAGCCTCCTGGAGATCAGAGAGGTGAAGAAACTAACAGAGTTACAAAGCACCTCTCAGAGTGTTCTTTTTGTAAATCTTTAGAACTGTGTTAATGTTGTATAAAGACAGTCCCTGATTTACAACAGTTCGACTTAACAATTTTTTGACTTTATGATGGTGCAGAAGTTATATGCATTTAGCAGAGACGTGTTCAGGGTGGGCTGGGCTAAGTGTGATGTTTGTAGGTGAGGTGCATTAAATGCATTTTCAACGTACAGTATTTTCAGTGTATGATGAGTTTATCAAGAGATAACCCCATCATAAGTCGAGGAGCATCTGTACTTAATAAATAAATAAAATTAAGAATGGGAGAATGCCTAAAAAAACTAACTGTATTTAAAATGATTAATATAACTGTCCAGTTTATGAATGAGAAAACAACTAATCCAAACAAAGTATTCTGACTTTGAATGCCCTCAGGCTAACGACTAAAGAACTATGTATAAATATAGATTTTTCACAGAGATAAGGGTTGGTAATTCTCAAGGTGCATTTCAGGATTAATAAAATAAAATGAAGCAAATAGAGGGGCCGGCCCATGGGTCACTTGGGAGAGTGCGGTTTCTAACACCAAGGCCACAGGTTCAGATCCCTATGTAGGGATGGCCAGTTTGCTCACTTGGGAGAGCGTGGTGCTGACAACACCAAGTCACGGGTTAAGATCCCCTTACTGGTCATCTAAAAAAAAATAATAAAAATAAAATAAAATAAAGCAAACAGGATTAAGAAAATACGTATCTTGAAGATATTGGGAGCTGGGTTTCTTACTATAAGAGAAAGGAGTTATGGATACGGAAAGGGGGAAGGCTGGAATGGACCTTGTGGTGCTGGACTAGAATAGGAGGCAGGTGTGAACTCATGGTTTTCCAGATAGGTGGTATGTAGGTAGATAGATGGAAGGAAGGTCAGAAGAAAGGAAAAAAAAAAAAAAAAAAAAAAAGGAGGGAGGAAGAAAGGAGGAGGGAGGAAAAAAAGACACGTACAAGTGCATATGTATGTGGACACGTGCACGTGTGTGTTTGTCTGTGTACACACATATACACATTTCCTAGTTTTGTCTGCTGAGAGGGCCTAGCAGCAAAGGCACCCCATAGAAATGAGCACACCTAGTGTCCACATCTTGGATTCTAAATACCATTCTCCACTAAAAGGAGTCAAGTCTCCTTGGAGAGATGGCTGATTCCAGGGCAAGGGCAGGAAAGGTCCAAGATGAGTCTAGAGCATCTTATTATTTTTTTTTCCTTTTTGTCTTTTTTCGTGACCGGCAACGGATCGCAACCCTCAGTGTCGCGCCCGTACCGGACCGGGACCGGCCATGGGATCGCAACCCTCGGTGTTGCCCCTGCCCCTCGCTCAGCCAGTGAGCGGCCGGTCTGTATGTGGGATCCGAACCCTCGGCGGGAGCGCCACCGCGCTTCCCAAGCGGCGCACTATAGCAGTGCGCCACTGGGCCGGCCCTAGAGCATCTTATTACATCAAAAAGTAAAGACACATCCAAAGAACGATGGTGACATGTTTAGGGAGCACAGGAACAAGCTTGAAGGGCTCCCAGTGGCTAAATCTGAGACAATCTTGATCCTCAGGATTAAATAAAGGCAGTAATAGATTATAACTACTGAATGAAATGGGAAACCATGAGTCCATGCTGATATAAATAAATGATGAATAAATTAATGGGGGATGGCCAGCTGCCAAAAAAAAAAAAAAAAAAGAAATCAGGGAGAAGGAAGAGCTCTTCCTGAGAGTAGAAAGTTATAAATACAGAGGGATGACAGAGTCAGAAAGTTGCTGTACGGCAGATATCCCAGTGACCACTGGTTCAGGCAAGCAGCAACAGTGAACACTAAACCTAGCGAGCAAAAATTTGATGAGGAGATTTATACTGACTCAAACATAGTTACTCTAGGTCAAGGGTTCAGATCCCCATCCGGCCAGCCACCCAAAACAGTAATTATTTATCCAAAGGAAAAAGAATAACTATAGAGCGAAGGAAACTGGCTGTCTCCACCTCAACCAGGGGATCAAAGTTACCACCCCCAGCCACAGGACAGACTGCTGTCACGTGCCCCGATGTGATGCACGGGGTAGGATGGGATGTCTCCCAGCAGAGCAGGATGCACAGCCAGGGCTGGCAGCCTCTGGGCTCTTTCTACTGAGCCATGCTGGTTCCCATGTTCTCCACTCTCTGAGAACACAGTACGGGGAGCTGGCAACACCCGAGTTCAAATCCCCTCTCTGAGACTTAGTTTCTTCATCTATAAAATGGGGCCAGTCCTACACACCATGCAGGGCCTGTGAGGATTAACTGAGATGAGGTGCATTAGAGGCCAAGCGTGGGGCCTGATACATAGCGAGAGGTAAACACTGTGGTTCCCACACACTAAAGCAAAACCAGAACACCCAGGTGGAGGCCCCTGGGGGTGCCAGGCCTGGTGGCTCAGTCACAATGGAGGAAATCAGTCTGGGGGCGTGTGTCTGCTGGGTCAGGACATGGGAGGAAGTTGCTGCTGACAGCAATGCCATAGCTTCTGGATGTGGTCTCCAATTCAGAGTGTGGTCACATTGCCAACCCCTTGGGCTCACATAACAGCACCCGGTAGGTGGGGATCAGCACCCCCATCATACAGGTGAGGATGAGATGACCTGTCCACGCTTACACAGCCAGCGAATGGCAGAGTCAGGAGTTGAACCTGAGGCTGGTGGGCTCCAAAATCTCTCTCCATTCCACTGGGCTGCCTTGCCTGGATGAAGAGGGCTGAGACTCCAGTGCAGGCCAATTAATAGCTAGCTGCAGATTTGGTGCTCTGAAGGGGCGAGGGGTCTGCCTTCTCTAGGAAAAGCCTGGTCCTGCAGAGCCCCAGGGAATGGGCTCAGTCTCTTCCCAGTGAAGGTTGCTTGGGCTCTTCAGGCCAGAAGGACCCTCAGACAGAGGAGCCACTCTTCCCTGTCCCAGTTTGGTACCTGCTAAAGCTAGGGCATGTGAGAAGTTGGTGGTTTTCTGCTTTCAAGAGCCTGTGTGTTTAGGGAGCAGATCCTCTGAGTACCCAAGGTCTCCTAGAAGATGCAGATAAGAGTTTCTGAGGCCCGTTTGACAGATGAGAAAACTGAGACCCATGGGGCCGGCCTATGGCTCACTTGGGAGAGTGAGGTGCTGATAACACCAAGGCCACGGGTTCGGATCTCTATATAGGGATGGCCAGTTAGCTCACTTGGAAGAGCGTGGTGCTGACAACACCAAGTCAAGGGTTAAGATCCCCTTACCAGTCATCTTTAAAAAAAACAAAAAACAAAAACTGAGGCCCAGAGGTGAGCTCAGAGGCTCACACAAGCAATTCAGTGGCAGCACAGGGATTTGAACCCAGCCTCCTAACTTAAGAGCCAGGCCCTGCTGCCCATCATGGGGGTGAGGTGGCCTCCAGGGTCTCCAACTCTCCTTGGCTAATGTGTAAGAAACATAAGCCCAAGTTTAAGGGCTGGGTGGGGGGAGGTACTCACCGATGAAGCTCTTCAGGAGAGGGTCAATGGGATGGGGCTGGTCCAAGATGAGGAACTTGACCGCTGTGATGACAGTGCTCCGGGTGTGTGGCCGACCTGCAGGACGAGAAGAGGTGGTGAGCAGCAGGACATGCCGAGGCTCTCCCCTGCCCCTGTGGGAGGCAGAACTGCACCCCTCCCATCTCTGGGGAAGTCGATGCTACCCTTTCCCTTAGCAGCCTTGAATCACCCCAAACTCTTCCTGCTGCAGCTGAGAGAGTAAGACCACCTGTTCTCAGGTAGCCACGCTGCAGGATGCAGACAGAGAACCAATACCCCACGACAGTGGTCACTCCTACAAAGACCTTCCCTCAGGCCTTGTGAATGCATTATATTTTTCAGACACATTAATCCTCAGGATAGTCCTATTAATTAATAAATAATGAAATAAGATTCATTAAAATAAAAATGGTTATTAATCTCTACATAGGAAGAAAGACTCAGAGGTTAAGTTCACATCTAAGGCCACACAACAGATCCAGAATGCTTGGCCAGGCCCCTCCTGGGTGTGCATTCTCCAAGCAGGGGCCAGCTGTGCTTTGGGCAGGCTGAAGGCCATGGGGATTCCAGCAGAACTCAGACCATCCCCGAGCTCAGTAATGGAGAACTCACTCAGTTTTGCCTTGCTGCTTGCTTTCTAAGTAGAGAAGCTACAGAAAGGGAGGGAAATACATTTCCCCTAATGGTGCAGGAGATAAATCAGCAGATGCCCCACATGCCTCTGAATCTCCTCTGCACTGCTCACTCCTCCTCACCCCACGCCCGCAGCATGCTACAGTGAACGGTGAACAGATAAGGCAGACTTCACATGCGAGCCTCAAGGAGAAAGTTTACAACTGGGTGCCAAGGCATGAATGAGTGGAAGAGTTACTGGATTCAGACTTTCAGAACTGATTTTTTCCTCTTTTTCTTTCCATCCTGATTGGCTCCTAAGAAGATTTAAGGCGGCTGATGAAGATAAGCACAATAGAATAGGATTAGGTGAATTAAAAATAAAGAGAACAAGGCCAAGGACAAATAAGGGCAGAAGGTGAGATGGAGACTAGAATGAGAGGCGTGCAGAGCACGCCAACCAGGAGGTTCCACGAACTTGCTGGAAGCAGCAACTCTTTTGGCTCTAAGCTTCCTGGCAGCTGGTGGTGGAAAGGAGATGTGAGCAGGGGCCGGTTCAACAGCGGCGTGGGACAGAAACAGCAGGTGCCTAGACAGAGCAGGGCTCTTCCTCATCTTGACTCTTGTCTCATGTAATAGACAATGTCCTCAACAATATTCTTCCCGTTCACAAAGTGACAAGGGCCAGACCAGTGCTTCTGACAAAACCAGCAACCCGAGAGCCTTAACAGTAATCACTAACATATCTGGCAACACTAGCAGTGTTTTACTTACTCGGTGTTAATTGGATACCACACATTGTACCGAGCACTTGACCAGCATTATGTCAACCAACACATCCACTGATTCTACCAGGGGACCAGGTGACCAGCTCAAAGCCCAGAGGCCTTTCCCAAGAGCCCCACGACCCCACCTGCCTGCTTTTTGCCTCCTGGAGCTGTGAAATGCCTTGATGTGCCATTCATGACAACACAAAATACCTGCTCTCCTGGCTTTTGCCTGGCCCTCTCCAACCCCAGGGCATGTCATCCAATTCCAGTCTACACTGACATTACTCAAGCTAGCCCAAGAGAGCTGCACTCTTTGCAGGCTGCAATCTCTGGCCCCTCAGAGAACTGCTTTTATTAACCTTTGCCTGCAGCTCAGGCTGTTGTCTTCACCAAGGATTGTGAAAGTGGCATCATGAAATTTTAAAGTGTACTTGTTGTAGGGACATATCCTTGATATGTCCCTACATATCCCAGGGGGTCCCACAGGAGGAAGCCTCGAAGTCTCAGAAGACACTGTGTGTTCCTCTGTAGCTCCTTTGCCTTTATCTTACAGACACTGGGATTCCTGCATCTGAGGACTTGGAGTGGTTCACTCGGCACAAGCTGTCTGGATGCTCAGGGACAAACTGTGCCACTGAGCTGGGCCACTTCACCCACACCCATGGCTGTGCCCATGCCCCTACCTGCAGCAAGCTGCTTCTGGAAGCGGGGCAGAAGGAATGGAGGGTTCACCAGGACCAGCTTCCCGATGCACTCAGCCACCACCCCCCGGGTGCCCTCCTCAGCAGCCTCGCAGTGCTGGAACAGCAGTGCCCAGATGTCCTCGGTGTAGGGCTTCAGGCTGTCAGGCTGGGCGGCCCCCAGGGCCTCCCTGAGCGAGTGCAGCAGCAGGTACTGCCGCCGGGGCTCAGTCTCCATCTGTCCCAGCAGGAAGGGCAGGAAGTCGGGCAGGTTGCCAGCCCCCACACGACCCAGAGCATAGGAGGCTGCAACCCTCACGTCCTCACTAGGCGACCCCAAGGCTTCCAGGAGCACCGCCTTCAGCTCCCGCTGGGGGCCTGGCCCGGCCACCTGACCCACCTCGGCCAGCGACAAGAACGCCAGGACCTTGACCTCCGTGCTCGAGTGGGGCGACCTGGCATCGCAGACCAGGCGGTTGGCCATGTCTGCTGCCTCCTGGGGACAGGCAGCTGAGAGCGCTGCCACGCAACGAGCCAGCGAGTGGAACACCTGCTTGTGCAGGCCCGGCCTGCTGTCCACAGCCTGGTCATAAACTGGTGCTGTGAGCAGGCTGATGAGCTCAGAGTAGTCCACGCATGGGGGGCGGGTCCCCACCAGAGCCTGCAGGAAGCCTTCAGTGGCCGCCAGCACGCCCGCTGGCAGCAGGGGTGAATGCAGCAACCGTAGCAGCTCAGACAGCACAGGGCCACTGACCTCTGCCAAGGAGGCCGGCTGGGCCTGAGTCACGGTGGCAAGGAAGTCCACAGCCAGCTGGGCCACGTGCATGTCATTCTCGCTGACCAGGGCAGGCAGCTCGGCCAGCACGGCCCGCACGGCGGATGGTGGGAGGCTGTGTCCCTGGCTCTGGGCCAGGGCATCCAGGGAAGCCAGTGTGGCCAGCTGCAGTGCCCTCTGGTTCTTGCGCAGGAATGAGGCCAGAATGGGCAGTGCTTCGGCCAGGATGGGCTGCAGGTCAAGCTGCAGTGGGGACATGGCCACTAGTGTCAGTGCCTTGACAGCGGGCAGCCGGGTGATCTCATTTCGCAGGCGGTCCAGGAGGAGCAGCAATGTGGGCTCCAGGTCATCCCCAAGCCGGTCGCCCAGGTGGCCCACAAGGTGGCCCATGCAGGAGATGGCCCGCTCCTTCACCTCCTGGTCCAGGTCAGTGGAGCGGAGTCGTGCCAGGGTGGCCATGGACATCTCTCCAACGTATGGCTCAGGGTCCAGCATCCGAGGCCTGTCCAGTGGCCACAGGGACCTCACGAGCTCCTGTAGCACCAACAGGGCCTCAGCTGAGATCTTGTAGAAAGGGTCGGCCACACAGGCCATTATAGGTGGCAGGAGGGTGGGCAGGTGCACGTAGAAGGCCTCGGCTGGCTCTGTGCCCAGTAGCCCCTGCAGGAAGGCCAGGGCGTCCATCCGGATGGTGGAGGAGCTGGCGCGGTCGGCCAGCGAGAAGACAATGCCTGCAGGGTGGGTGCAGAGATTACAGGGCCATGAACCTTGACCCCACACAGCCCTCCCCGGAAGTGAGGAAGGAGCACCCACGGGTGCCTGATTTGGACCGAAATACCTCAGCTCTTATGCAAAAGTTTCCAAGAGGCCTGTGCTTGCCAGTGGCCAGGGCTGAGAGAAGCAAGGCCCGGGAACTCCTCCGAAACTGGGAGGCAAGGCCTAGAGCCTGGCCTTGTTCTCACTGCTGGCAGTGGGGAGCCACTGTGGGCTTCTACCCAGGGCTGGGGGCTGGGAGCTGGGTTCTGGAAGAGGCCCTGAATAGCAGATGCCCGGTTGCGCTGTGGCCTACCTGACACCAGCACGGGCATGTGTCCTGCCAGGCTGCCGGGGACGACGCCCGCCAGCTCAGTGAGAAGGCTGAAGCAGCCCTGGCGGGCCCTGACACTCCGATCTTTAAGCTGCCGCTGCAGGGCCTTGATCACAAGGGGCACCTGTGGGCAGGTGGAGGAGGTCAGGGACCACTGAGGAAACTTCCCACCCCATCCACTACCAGGGCTTTGCTCAGGCGCATGCCGGGGGAACACCTAGCGTGGAGGGGACGCCTCCCCAGCTTCTGCCACGGCTCTGTGCCAGGGCCTGATTGCCACTGGCAGACCCTTGTGGGTAGCTGCTACTCCTGCATCCATTTTACAGGTTCGGAAACACCCGGCTCAAGACCACCCAGGCAGTCTGGCCGTCACTACTACACTCTGCCGGAGGGAGCAGAGGCCTGGCTGGTCCCACCACAGGGGCTTCCTTCCCTCCACAGGTCGTCTCCGCGACGAGCTCCCACATGCAGCGACACTCGGCAGGGGCTGTGAGAGCAGACGCGAGGGAAAGGGCGGTGGGGTGGCCCACCTGTCCCCGCAGCGCGCTCAGGTTGCTGCCGGTCTGCGCGGGCGCCTCCACCGTCTCCAGCCAGCCCTTCGGGGGCCGCGTTTGCCGCAGCAGCGCGACGTAGGCCCCGAACACGTCGGCCTTGACGTTCTCCTCGCGTTCCCGGAAGCGGCGGACGAGCGCGGGCGCCAGCGTGCGGTGGAAAGCCGGCAGCAGGTCGGGCCGCGAGCCGATCAAGGCCGCCAGGCACTTGGCCGCGGCCCGGCGCACCTTCCAGCTGGCGTCGTCGTCGTCGTCGCTGTACTCGTCCTCGCTCTCTGGCAGGAACAAGACACGCGTGGAGCCCGGTCTTCCAGGACGGGTGGGTGGCTCGGGGGAGAAGGGGGAGCTGGTCACCGAGCCTCACCTCGGATGATCAGTGTCTGTACCCTATTCGCAGTGTTACCTACCTGTCAACGAACACCTACTGTGTGCTAGGAATGGCGCTACGCACGTCAAGTCCACAATCTCGTGTCAGCCTCAGGGCGACCTTGTGAGACAGGGATTCCTTCCCGGTTACAGAGATGAGGAAACCGGGGCTTACACAGAAGGTACGTCTTGCCCCAAGTTAGGGAAGTACTTGGCGTTAGACTAGGGTCCTCCTCCTGCCTCCAGACCCTTCACTGTTTTGACTACACCAGTGAAAAAAATGACTCCCAAGTCCAAAGTGAAGACTCAGAGATTCCATTTTGGGCACAAAACCCGTCCTTTGCTTTCAGGACTGGCTGGGTGATGTTTCCTTTACTGGGATTCCAGAAGAAGTGATACGGCATCCCTCTGTGCATCCCCCGCCCCCAGCCTCAGCCTCTCAAAGGTCCTGATTCTGACGGCTTCCAAGCAGGACTAATAATAAAGAAATGCTGCGTCTGTGTGGCTTTCTACTCTACAAGCCCCCTGAGAGGCAAGAGCTCATCGAGTCTGTACCACCACCTCAGAAATGAAGGTGCTGTGGAGCCCCATTTTACAGATGACAAGACTAAGGCTCACAGAGGGTGAGAGACTCTCCTAAGGGCACACTGACTCAGGCCCATGAGGCCCACCCTCATCACCTGGGGAGACACACATGAGACTCAGAGGGGGACGGCCTAACTAGGATGACCCCCAAGCACAGGTTCAGAGGCCAGTGTGTCCCTACCCATGCTACCCTGTTGACAGCTCAAACTCTCAGAGCACTCACATCTGGACAAGCCACATGGGCCACATCCACTGGTTGGCTCAGCAGATGTCCCACTCTACCCTACTTTCACCCATGATGAAACACCCACAGCTCCCTATTACTGACAAGAAAATGTCCAAACTCCCTGGCTTGGCACTCAAGGCCCCAGCATACCTGTCCAATCTCATCTCCTACCATCCCTCTCATTCCAAACACCCCTCAGGCCCTAAGTCCCTTGTCTCCATCATATGGCCTTCAGGGCATATGGGCATCTCTGCCCTGGAAATCCATCTGAGTGATAGGCAGGACCCCAGGCACAGGAGGAAGGAAGCCACTGAGTCCATCCCCATCCAGATCTCTCTCTCCCATGTCAGTGCCTATTGTTCTACCATTAGAGCTTCACTTTGCTAGGCTACAAGCATTATCTCCTCAAAATCACTGACAAAAGGGCACAGAGATGGCAGCACAGAGTGGGGGAGTCCGACAGACCTGGCTCCAAATCCCAGCTATGCCACTTCCTAGTTGCTTATCTCAGGCAAATCTCTTCTCAGTCTCAGTTTCCTTGACTGAAATATGGGGATAAGAATACCTGGCTTTCAGGTGATTGTGAGGAACATGAAATAAGAGTGCTTAGAACTCCAGCAGGTACTCAATGAATGACAGCGAGTGCCGCTATCGTTACTGGGATCTGTGCATCACAGAGGGTGGGGCTGGAGCCTGAGGAAGAGTTGGCATCAGGATGGGGGCACCAAATATGGCCCCTGTTTTTGGCTGGGGGATCCCAGGAAGGCTGTGCCCACCTCCACCCTCCAACCCCAACAGATTGTCCACCCACCTTGTTCACTGAATTCGCTATCCTCTGTCTCCATCTGCTCCTCGTCCCTGTCACTGTCATAGTTATAGTTGGGGTCATGCTTCAGGTATTGGAGGCAAAGGCTGGTCACATTGGGCACGTGAGGGCCCATCTCCTTGGGGCACCTGTGGGGCAGGACAGGGGAGGCTGGACCCAGGCAGGACAGGGTACAGGGCGGGGCCCAAGGGTGAGTCCTGACATGTCACTGCTTTGAGGCCAGCATCCTGCACCCCATCCCCACCAACTTCCCAGAGAAATCCCCTGGCCCTGTCTTCCAGCACCCCCGCAGCACCTACTTCCTCAAGAAGGCCTCGAAGGCCTGCAGGCAGGACTCCCGGAGCTCATCATCATCCAGGTTGCAGAACTCCTCCACCAGGGGCACCAGGCGGTCCAGATGGGCCCCTGCAAGGCCAGGTAGGTCACTGAAGCCAGGCCAGACCCTCTCCCAGCCCTCAGTCTGTCCCTGCGCCTACAGTCCTGACCTCTGCAAATTCAACTCAGAGGCTTCCCAGTCAAGCAGATGTGGATTCTAGCCCTGACTCTGCCACCTATATGCTATGGGGCCTTGGACAGGTCACAACACTTCTCTGACCTCAGTCTACTGATCTTCACAGCAAGGATAACAATGCCTACTAGGCAGAGACTTTGTGAAGATTAATGATCTGATGCAGATGAAGAGCTTAGCCCAGGTCCTGGCACACAGTAGGCATCAATAAGTAGCATCAGTTGTTGAAACTCACGTCCTTACCTTGTTTCCTGCACTAGGTTGTAAACTCTGGATGGCAGAAGCAGGGAGGCAGGTACTGCCCTAACAGACCAGGCAAGAGGCCCCAACCTGGTCCATGGGCTTCAGAGGATCTCACCTTTTTCCTTCTCCAGCTACACCCTTCCCCACAGTGCAAGAAAGGACATGCTGACCTGGTGACCCCAACTCCCCTTCTAGACTCTGACCCTGAGCCCTTGTTTGAGCCTGTGCAGGCCTCTTTCCCAGGTCCATGCTCCCAAAGGTAATCAGAGAGTGGCTGCTGTTTGGGGGGATGGGACAGAGCATGGACATGTGGGCTGGGGTGTCTCCGCACATGCTTGCAGCCCCTGCAGTGAGACAGCTGGGGATCAGGAGGGGCCGCCTGTGGGCCCAGCTGTATCTGCACTGCCTAGCGCTAGCCCGGAACTCCAAGGTGTCTGAGGGCGAATTCAAACCTGACTGTGGCATTCCATTTATAAAAACTAATCTATAATGACAGAAAGCAGATGGGGGGTTGCCTGAGGCAAGGCGGAGGGAGGGACGGACTGCAGAGGGGCACAAGGAAACTTTCTGGGGTGATGGAAACGTTCTGTATCTCCACTGTGCTGGTAGTTTCACGTTGTACACAAAGGTCAAAACACATTGTACACTTTAAATAGTGTGGTTACTGTATGTACACTATCCCCCAACAAAGTTTTTTAAAAATCCAAACCTGGCTCACTGTTGTTATTAAGGTATATCTGTCAGGGCCGACCCATGGCTCACTTGGGGGAGTGTGGTGCTGATAATACCAAGGCCACGGGTTCGGATCCCTGTATAGGGATGGCCGGTTAGCTCACTTGGGAGAGCGTGGTGCTGACAACACCAAATCAAGGGTTAAGATCCCCTTACTGATCATCTTAAAAAAAAAAAAAAAAAGGTATATCTGTCAAAGTAGGGGGATAGAACATATTTTATCTGTTTGGTGGCATTACCTTTAATAACCCACAAGCCTCCAGATCCAAAAAGTGACTGATCCAAGCTCCTTCCTGGGAGGCCTGCACTTGGCAGAGGCTCAGGCCAGTTTGCACCTGAGCTCAAAGCCCACCCTGCCCCAAAGCTCAAATCCCGCGCCAGCCAGGTGCACCCAGGTCCAGGTGCTTCAGCCCCACTCAGCCCCGCCCCCACTCAGCCCCGCCCCGCCCCCTTGCCG